TTAAAAACTTTTGCACAAATGTCTGAATGTTTCTCCACTGATGATGTAATCATTGTCTCCACATTGACTCCCATGAACCAGTCCTATTTTCTACTCAGTTGTTACAGCTATAAATCAGATAAATATAGTAAATCTCCAGGCTCGGATGGTCTACCAGCAAAGTTTTATAAACTTTGTTTTAATTGTATCATTGAACATTTGACTGTTTTTTTTAAATACTGGAATAAATGTGTTATAAATAAATGTGTTAAGGTGTTTAAGGTAAATCTTTTTATCATAGAAGCATGTTTGTTATATAAGACATACAGTAGGTGATAAATGTGACCCCAGTAATTATTAACAGCTAAAAATATTGAATGCTGATTATAAAATGATAGTAAAAATAATAATGAACAGACTTAATTATGTCCTCGATTCAGTTATAGAGAAAGAACAAATGTATAGTGAGGAGTAATTTATGCAGGTTATTAAATGAAGAGAAAACTCCTGTTAAATCATGTCTTTGAAAAGAAATGAGTCCAAACAGGAAACAAAGAGCTGGAACACAGAATCTCCAGAGTCAACAATGAAATAGTCCTGTTTCAGTGTTGAGTTGTGCTTTAAAAGCAAAGTGAAACTTTTCAGATACAAGGTGTGACTGCACCTGAGYGTAAAAAAATGTTTTTATAAAAAAAAGCTTAGAAATGGTTTGAGAGACCAGAGAGTTGCAGAAGATATCTCTACTTCCTGTGCCCTGCCCTATTCGGGCATTCTTGATTTTTTTTTTCTTGTCTCTAAATGTTTGACTCATCAGTAACAAAACAGCAGTATAACCAGTTTAATGAAAGGAAGTCTGATGAAATACCAAAGAGCCAACRGGTAGTTAAAGACTCTATAATAAATAAAACTACAAACAAGTGTCTACTGCAGCCCTGTGCACTAACTTCCTGTCTTCATGAGGAAAATAACAAAACATGCATTAGTTTCTGGGTGGACTTTAAAATGTCTTGTGATGTTTGCTGAGGTTCTTAATTTCCCCTCACAGGCGTCAGAGGCTCTCAGTGTTTACAATTTGTTTAAAAAAATATGACAAAATGTTTTTTCAAAGCAGTCACTGTGTTGTCACGGGTCTCCCTGATTCTAGCGGTCTGGAGCAGAACTTTGATACCTGTCAGCTCTTCTTCTGACAAAAAACATCCAAGACTTCAATCTGAACATGTTTAAAAAAACACAACAATGAGCTGACCTGGGCCCGAGTTAAACACAGTACAGCTCCCACCACCACGCCTGGTGACTCAAATGAGTCATCATTTCTAAAGCAAAACCCAAACACACAGTTGTGTTATAAGAGCAACAATATTACATTTGTATTTGCCATAACCACCTGGGCCCCAAATTTTATTGTACATCTTAGACATTCACTCGTAACATTTTCATGAAATTCACATATATGGAACCCAATATATGGAACTTATGGTGGGCACTCATGGCTATAGGTTGCCGGATGGCACCATTCTTGCCTCCTCTGCCTGTGGTCACCCCCCAAGGTTTGCATATAGACACTTAGGGTTTTGGGTTAGAGTAGTGGTGGAGGGGAAACTGG